CACTTTGGCCTCTAGAAGCTGGAAGACAGTATAGTTGTACAATATAAACAGGTGCAGGTGTTCGTATTAACATATTCCCGACTTTTGGACTTTGGACCTTTATTTTCTATGCCTCGTAAATGATGAATAAGGTCTGTTAGAATTGAAATGGCACTGCATACCAAACAGATATGCATACCTCTCGTCGATATAGTAGTAGTCTAAAGCAAGCGCCGCAAGATGGGTCTGATGTTCGTTACTGACCCTTGACCGTTAATTAATAAGTGCATGTTCAACTGATAACTGCCCATGGTCGAGAAAGGTTTCGAAGGTAATTTCGTCGATAAAGTAAATTTTGTAAAAGTTAATTCTAATATTATGGGTTTACGCGTGTAAATCCGTAGAAGTGACAGAGATTGTTATTCTGACAGGTGTTTCGACAGCTAGTAGTGTTCTAGTAAACACATGATGCTGGAGCAAATGCCAGGTTGATTTTTATTATGCGTGTCTGCGAACCAAGGTATATCCGTTAGTGTACGAACATGTTTTTGTTCGCTTGGCGAAGTTCAGATTATATCGCGTATCTAATCCTTTGTATCATTCTTAAGACCGTAGCTTGATGGGTCTAACAGGTTATTAAATTTAATGCATGCATGTTTTTGCCATAGCTATGCCGTTTCAAAAATACCACAGTAAATTTTGCTTGTGGTACTCACTGATTGGTCTTGTAGCGTCTGTTCCTATTATCACAATGAGCGCCTTGTTAGACTGCCTCTGTTAGGAAATAAGCTTGGAAGTTGATCCTTGCGTATGGTTTAATCTTCGTTTTTCATGAAATTATTAGTTGCATTATTTCAGGTATTCCTATATGATAGATAACATTGTGCTTCTTATCACCGGCACAATTCATCAGCGTCCTATCTCCGAGCTTGTTTCCAAGTGCCATCCACTTGGTTCTTTCGAACAGATGGAAGCGATTCACATTGCTTCCACTCCTGCCGAATTGTACAACGCCGTTCTGGTTGATACGCCTTTAGCACCTTACTTTGTTGGGTGCGTTTCCGAACAAGACCTTGATGAAATGAACATCGAAATTATTCGAAACACGCTCTACAAGGTATCAGCCAGCTGCACATTCTTTTTGATTTAGACTTCACAAGTCACTTTTCAGGCATACTTAGAAGATTTTTACAAGTTTTGTCAGAAGTTAGGTGGCTACACCAGCGAAGTAATGAGTGAAATATTGGCTGTAAGCTGATTTATTGCATGCAGTTTATGAATTTTCTCGTTTCATATAGTTTGAGGCCGATCGTCGTGCAATCATTATTACGATCAACTCGTTTGATACTGAACTGTCGAAGGACGACCGTGAGAAACTTTATCCGACATGTGGAAAGCTCTATCCTGACGGTCTGGCTCATCTTGCCAGGGCGGATGACTACGATCAAGTCCGTCAGATTTGTGAATGCTACTTGGTTTGATTTTTATTGTCTCTGCCGTCTGTGATGTCATTATGTTTAGGACTACAAGTCATTGTTTAGCGGAGCTGGCATTGGTACAGGAGAAAAGACTCTGGAGGATAAATTTTTCGAATATGAGGTTGTATCTTGTTTCCATGTGGCCTTTAGTTTTAAATCTAGAAAAATTTTTTAGTTAAACATTTATTTAACATGTACAACATTGTGTTGTTCACAATTGACGCAAAGGAAGAAGAAGCACTTTTGCAGGCTACTCATCGGTTATGATGGGGCTGCCGAGTAGTGGAAACAGTTGTATTGCATATAACTTAGATGACCGGCGTCACTGAATAAGACTTCGTTATGAAACCGAAGGTTTTTACTCCTGTTCGAGTACTAACTGCGCTGCAATTACATATGACGATATGATTAGGCAGCGTATAACTTGAAAGTAAAAGTTTGGCTAAGAATTTGTGCCTTCTTACAGCTTTCCATGTTTGCTAGTTGACGTTGCTTACCACATCATGCTGACTTGTTCATGAGGGCCATGAGAATGAAAGCACTGTTTTTGTTGGCTTCCTCTATTCGCCGGTTCAGTCGCTCACAGCTTTCTGTGATTGCTAGAAGGATGTATAAATGACCAGACAGTTTTGGTATTCGTTTTAGGATTTTCTTGCCTTTAATAGTTAATTAATTTTTTAAATCATTTCTTATATGTGGTTAAAACTGACTCTCTAGAGCTTCATAGAAAGATGTGGTGTGTTTCGATCATGCATTTCGACTCACACTGGCTTGCATTAGTGTTTGGGAAAGGTAGCAATTGGCTTTCTGTCGGATCTCGTTTAACGAAAATATATTAGGAAGGAAAAATTTTAACGCACAGGGTGATGCAGTTAAAGTTAAATTTGCTAAAGTATTTTGATTTTCAGGTAAAGCTCAACGTTCGAGCATACATGATGCAGTTTCATTTCGGCATCTTTTACGCTTACGTGAAGTTGAAGGAACAGGAAATGCGGAACATAATTTGGATTGCCGAGTGCATCTCCCAACGTCACCGCGCCAAAATTGACAATTACATTCCAATCGTATAAATTTCAGTTAAGATAATGATATGTGACTGCAGTTTAATTAGAAAGGAGTTTCTGCTCTCATCGGTATGATTGTCGATTTGTTTTTTTTTGAAATTCGAAAGTACACAAACAATCAGTGGTTGTTTCGTCTCCGTTACTTTATGTGCCGTGGAAATGTAACTTTATGGAAATGAAACTTTAATTATTTATTGTTCGGAAAAAATTTTATGCTATTATTTGTTTTCGTTGTTCAGTATTATGTCACAGTCGTTTTCTTCCTATGCCTGAGGCTGTTGTTATCATCGTTATTTACCAAGGCTTAAATAAATGAGTTTCCAAAATTTATGATTTGGCTGAAACGTGTCGATGAGTTCTATTCGTTCATATTAGCTACCTCAGCAGAAGTCGTGTTCTTCGTCACAAAGGGATTTGCTTTTGTCTGCATTAGCGTTATCTAATTCTTGTTGTTCCCGTGGTTCAGCTGGCCTGTGAATGATTCTTAAAAAGGGTGCAAAGATTTTGATGAAATTTGTTTCTTTTTTTCAAATCAGCGTCAAGCTACCGTAAATGCTGATCATTGAATATAGAATATTTTAATGAACATTACTTTTATTGGAAGCAATGTACGGTCAGGTTTATTGAGAATCGAGTTATGCATTTGTAATCGAAATTGAGGTTGCTTGATTTTATTTTTAGCCATGTTAGAGATGGCGCTCAAAGCGATTATTGAAAGGGATGTGGCAGAAAACTTGCTTGAGGCAGAAATTTCTCGAGGCCGATGTAAGATCTTATCCACCGACGCCATACAGTGTAGTGATTATTACACGAACGTAACGAAGCAGTACCATGTTATTAATGTACGTAAGATAAAATGCGGTACGCGCCAATTTGCTCGTGCATACTTGCTTGCGTAATTTGTAATTAAACTTATGTGCAACGTCTCTGAAATCATCGAGAAGTTGCATATTGACGTTCGCCTCCTCGGGTTCTTCGAAGTATCTACCAGAATTGAAATCAACTATCCTGGCAATACGCTGAGTTCAATGAGCGTATTTCATTTATGGCAGTTACGGCTGGTCTGCGATGAGCTAACTGCTCGAGTTTACTTTAGTTTCGTTAAGGCTTTGTTCTTTTCGCAGACCAACAATGAACAACCGTGCGAATGGATGGTGCGTGTCAGCAACTTGCGAAAACTCTTGATGCCATATCTTCCGGGCATTATTCGTTTTAGCAAGCAGCCATGGGCAGTGTCAATGCAATTCCACGGTTTTAGAGCGAAGTGTGGTTGCCATCATCCTGGAAGGTCAATACACGTATCTTCGAAGTGGTCTATAAACACATGCGCTTCGATCGGGTAATCGTTCCTCTCTGAAACGACCTCAAATGTTTGCTGTACGTTGCTGCACTGGCACGAACGATAGTGCAGTGAGCATTCGGATTTTTAAGGTGAATGTAGCATCCATTGAGTATCTTCGTTGGAGACCGTTCGCCTGAATGCTTCGGTAGTCGCACTTGCCAAGTGAAAAGAGCAGCCGCGATGCAGAACGTTTGGAAAGCTTCGAAAGGCATTAATGGCCACATGCTCAAAATCAGGCCGATTGAGGTACCAAACTCGATTCCGAAAGCTTCAAGACGTCCAACATTCGCAATTAACTCGCCTGCATTTTGTCCGACAGGAGGGCAAATGCCGACGGTGTATGACGTTGGAACACCCTATCTCGTGGATTGTGTACAGCTGCTGAAACAATTGAGGAACTGTTTTAAATGTTCCGTCGACTTACCAGTTGCATGACAGTGCGGCGTCGCAAATTATTCATAGTAGAAAAAATTAACAGACGTTTGCTATCGGGTACGCTGTCGGGCATCAGGAAATTCTTGAGGCCAAACGTCTTTCAGCACCCTTCCGGCAGTGCCAAATCATATAGGCTGGTTGGATTTAGTAGTCTGGCGCTCGACTCGACCCTGCGCCTGACTGTCTGCTTCATGCCATGGATTAGTGGCAATTTTCTAGCTACTGCTTGTGACAGCCCTACAGTGGCTAAGGCTACAGTCTCATGAGCAGAATCCTGGGGCATTATGGCCCATTCTTTCAGTTATTCGGTAACTCTTGCTTTGACTGGATCAGCAGCGCGGTTGTGTTTCAAGAATGGCAAAATGACGCACTCATCTGATGTGTGTCATCTGGCATTTGTTCTTCCGGCTGAATTCGCACTTCCACAATATTTTTTCTTCTGTCTTTTCGTCCTTGATAAACAAATTGTCGATGTGCCGTAATTTGGGCTTCCCGTCGTACTCAGAATAAACTGCAGAGGCAATTTTTGACGAAATCAATTGAATTACTGCAGCTACTATAACAGTTGTGTTCCCGGCCAACTGTCGTGCCCATAACACGTGACATATACAGTAACTTACAGACAATCAACTGTGCGGCGAGCAAGTTCGGGCGACCAAATTTATGTGAACCATGAAATATAGCAGTAGTGCGACATGTGGCACGGGTAAATGACTCGAAACAGCAGCGGAACATTATGAAAGTTGCATTTTTCTATCTGCAACGGTTTTCTGGGGTTTCTCAGTAGGCATGTTTAATGGCGGCTTACCACCTTGCTGTCGTTGTTCTTGCAGTATTGTTTATAGTCTTGCTGATGGTTGCGTAACCGCTTCCGGTAGCACTTCCAGTACGTGCTCGGTGTAAGATTCGCTGTTTATTTTGAAGGTTATCTCCATATCTGCGAGTTATTCTGCAACCTGTAGACGTGTGCGAAAGTACTTGAGTTTTATCTATAAATTAACTCTACCGGATAGATCTGCGAGATGCAAGACGAAACACTCCTTCTTCCAATTTCTGACAGTCACGTAAAACTTAGCTGTCATAAATGGAATGACCTGTTGCGATCAGGTTAAGTGCAAACCAAACTTTTAACTTTCTCTAACGATTTATCTGCCGCCTATCCATGCATATTCTGACTGATCTATTAAACGACTTCGCTCTTTACAAAATTCAATAATTTCAAATTTATAGGGTGATGAACCTCATTTGGGCTTGCGAGGGATCAGCGAACGCGTTTGCTAAGTTTCGATAATTCCATTGCAGCGAAGTTACTTCAATAAAGTGCTTGTGCTTAGTGCTTGACTTACAGTTTACTGTGATCAAGAAATCAAAGTTGAAACTGGAACTTGATTAGAAGCCTAAGCGGCATACGACTTAAAATTTATCTTCTGGTCACGGTTTGATCGATCGCTGAAGGCACCATGCGACAGAAGGGTTTCATTTGCTGCTTGCCGGTCGTCTTTCTGTTTTCGCAGCAATCGGTTGCTGTCATAGCCCGGCAAAAATTAATCGCTTCGCTGTACTGGCTAGCTGATGCAGAGATTTACAGCTGCGTCTCTTGTGGGAAATTCGTTAAGATATCCCACTGATCAGTTTTCTTAGTCGTCGTTGATTTCATTCTTTGCTAGACATATTATTTTTTAAGGGCTGCTTATATTTCACCCTTGATTTTTATTTATTTTACCGGAAATTTTATATTCTTCAGAGTAAATTGCAGCACAGCGACGTCAAAGAATAGTGAACATTTTCTTCTTGCTTATTTTTTAAATGAAATAATAGGGATTGTTTGTCATACTGAACAAACATTTTTTTGCCTGACTAATCAGGATTCCGGAATTTGGTTACGTCGACTTTCCATGGAAGCCGACAGCTGCATTCTCATGAGTTTTTCCAACGTTTGCAGAAAAACATGAATGCATAGGATACCTCGTGTCTACTGAAAATAAGTGTATTTGTTGAAGACTGGTCCTGAATACTTTGCTGGCTGGAGCACTGAAAGCTACTCATGGTCACGTCTTCTACTTCTTGCCGAAGAACTAAGCGCAGGTTAACAATATATGTTCGTTTTTGGGCAGAGGGGTTCCTAAAGTATGCCATATTCCCTCCATGCCGTGTGTACGCGGCTATCAAGCAAACCATTCAGTTCTAACAACGAACTTTCTACTCGTTAATGGCTACAAACGGCAGTGCAGTATAAGAAGCATGTGTGTGAAAATCCCAGTTAAAACCTTTTATGCAGGCGGAATATGATTTTCACTAACCAAAATGACTACATCTTCATCTTCCATCGCCGCTTTTCCTTTCGGGTCGCGGAGGCAGACGCGTCAGATAGTGCTTCCAACGTTCCCGATCCTGTGCCAGAGTCTCAGCTTCGGCAAAAGACATGCATTCTGGTACAGACTCCTTCCATATATTTGTACCAGGTTAATCTTGGCCGTTCCCTGGGCCTTCTGCCGGTCACATTTGCAAGGAACAGTTGCTTAGCCTTCCTTTCTGGAGGCATTCGCAACACATGTCCAAGCCATCGCAGCTGCGACTTCTCAATCTGGAGAAGCAAAGACTGTATACCAAGGTTCCTCCGGATGTCAGTATTCCGAACCATGTCGAGACGCGTAAGGCCAGCGATTCGTTTAAGAAA